CAACCCCGCGGTGATCACGTGACGTGTGCTCCCGCCAAGAGCCATGCTCCGCCAAGGAAGGGAGAATGGGAGGCCTTGGGAGAATTGTGCTCCCACTGCTCCCATGGGAACATGCTTCCGAGGGAGAATAGGGAGCATCAGGACAGAACACGATGGGTATAAGAATGTGTTGGATTTCATTATTACACTCGTTGTGGTCAACTCATTATACTGTACTCTCTTACAAGTTCTTTACTCAACAAGATTAGTACTTTGTTATTCTATCTTACTATAGAATTAATTGTCTTTACTATTAGTTAAACATCTATAACTCTTTTCCACCTGAATTACTCGGCAATCACACGGCTTACCACGAACCCGCTGACTCGCCCTAACCCGGATCGAGTCCTAGCTAAGTATAGTCGAACCCCGTGTAACACTTTGACCACCACCGAATTCAGTGGAGGAGTTTAACCAATAGTTCGCTCGAATAAGATTACCATAATGGCCCACAACGGAAACCAGTTCACCTAGGGACAGGAGCCCACGGCTGTGGCCCCTACGCCCTCACCAGCTCTCGATGACGAGATGCTCGAAGGAAGTGGTTCGGATTCTGACTCTTTAGATGACGAGAACAACAACACGAACTAGGCCGAGGTACGAGATCTTAAGCGAAGGCTACGCATGCAGGAAAAGCAGCATAGCGACTAAGCTAAGCAGATGGCAGCTATGCAAGAAATGATGGCCTAGATGGTAAGCTAGCTTATAGCTACGCCTAACGAGAAACCACCCCCAAAACCTAAGATGGCAGTACCTGAGAAATATGAAGGAGGACGAAACGAACTAAGGACGTTCCTCACTAACATTGACCTGTACTGTGGATTTAACTAAGTACCTAACGACTAGGAAAAGATCCTAATAGCTAACACACACATAAAGGGCAAAGCAGCTATATAGATGTAGCTATATATTAAGGATTTCCTGACCTCACCTACCACCCACAGAACTAGGGAAGAAACTAAGGCCTTGTTCAAGGATTGGGAAAGTTTTAAGGAAGAAATAGGACGCATCTTTGGGGAAGTAGACGCAAAGAACTAAGTAGAGAAAGCAATCACTCGCTTAAGGCAAACCAAGTCCGTATTAGCGTACACAGCCGAGTTCAAACAGCTCTAAGCCAGAATCGACTGGGACGACGCAGCACTTCGAACAGTATTCGAAGCCAGACTCAAGGACAATGTCAAAGACGGTCTTGTGCACCACGACAAACCCGACACACTTCATAAGCTAGTCGAGCTAGCCACCTGAATCGACAACCGACTGTGGGAACGAGCCCAGCAAAAGGGACGATTTTAGCCTACAGTGGCCAACATGAAGAAACAGCAAAACCGCACAGACAGGGACGGTGACACCGTCATGACTGGTAAAGTCCAAGACAAGAGTAAGAACAAAAAAAATTCCTAGAAAAACCAAGATGGTGTCTCTAAGGACGAACGACAAAAGCGCTTCGACAACAAGGCATGTCTCCGATGCGGCGAAGTAGGACACTTCCGCAGAGATTGCCTGAAGAACGAAACCAGCAAGCAGGCAATAGTCAAGGTCAAGATGATCAGACTATCCACGCCATACCCCAGACACGATCTCACGTTAGAGGACAATCTTAGCGATGTAGACCTCTATGACGAGGCACGAAGAGCCACTAGCCTAGAATACGTAGTCATCCCCGAACTGGCCCAACCAAGTATCGAATGGGACGTACCCTAGGCGGAGGACTGGACCGTTAGCGGCATGGACACTCTACAACGATTGGCCCAAGGACAGTGTTGGACATGTAGAGACAACACACACCAAGCTAACGACTGTATCTCCAAGATGGGAAGGATAGTCGTCACGGGACTAAACGCCACCAAGATCATACAACAAGCACAAAGGGAACAGCTATACTTTATGGAATTAACTGAGGTCTTAGACCAAGAAGCATCTCGAAAAGGCCAACGCACGAAGCACAAGGACCTGCATTAGGTCAACTGCAAACACAAGAGATATAGTTAGCATGAACGCGCAAAGGAAGCATCAAGATACGGAGGAGATGATTGTTGCCACAACCATCTAGAACTAGAAGAATGCCGCGTGGATCAATGCCCCGTACACGAGCAAGAAAAGATACAGATTGCCCACGAAAAGTTGTGCTAGGTTAAATGCACAACTAACTGCTCGTTTTATCAAAACCAAAGAAAGGATGCGGAGAAGGCAGACGACTTCTACCATAGCACCCTTATGCCCGAGGAATGCAAAGCAAAAGATTGTTAAATGCACACTGGGCTAGGCCAAGAAAAGACTCAAAGAATTAAGCCACAACTAAAAGAGGTAACGAACGACACTCCAAAGGAGATACCTCACTAGAACATTTATTAGAGATTCTGTTACGAAGACTGATATAACGTTCACTTCGACGCCAAGTACAGCGCGGGATATTTTCCCTAGGAAGGGAAGAAGTCGCAGAAAGGACGACTCTCTAGGCTAAAAAACTAGGATGCCGCTAGAGACAGGGTCACGCTGGCAAAGGCAGTCCTATAACAACCCTTAAATAAGTACAACACACCAAGAGCCCACGATTGAAGCTATAAGCAATAGTGGTTGTACACGGAAAACGAATGATCGCGACCATCGACAGCGGCGCGATGCATACCATGATCTCATCAAGGACGATAGAGAAATACTAGATACCACATTGGGTCAAGAAGACGCTAATACCTGTGGTACTAGCCGACGACAAGCCTATGGATTACGGCAACGGCATGATACGGTTAGAAACCGAACTAGTAACGCTAGAATTAGCGGGTACTACAAGCACAATGAAAATCAATATCATGGACCTTAGAGAGGAAGAAATATTAATAGGGTATAATTGGTTACAGGATCATAACCCGGCCATTGACTGGCAAAAGAAGACTATTCTCAGCCAAGAACCTGCGCGCAAGGTTGCTGGAGTACAACAAGAGACACGCCTGACGAATCAGAGCTTACCCAAGGACGGGAGATTCGGCAAGATCTTACCGCATAAGATCGCGAGAATCTATGCGAAGGACCCTCGACAGATAGGAGTTATATGGATAAGACGCGTCGCGCCCACGAAGGACGGACCCTTACTACTAGATACGCCAAATAAGGATTTATTGGGTATACTAAAGGAATATTAGACAAACGAGTTTTGAGATTTATTCGAAGAAAACGAGGCAACAGACCTAGCTGAACACTAGGATTAGGATCACGAGATTATCCTAGAGGAAGGAGCGAAGTTGACGCTAGGAGGAATGTATTCTATATCGCCCGAGCACGATGCTGAGCTTAAGGAATACCTCTGGAAGAATCTGAAGAAAGGATTCATTAGACTAGGATTAGGCCTGATGGCCTCACCAATATTGTTCGTAAAGAAGCCCAACGGAAAGTGGCGACTGTGCGTCGACTACAGAAGGTTGAATGGGGTTACTCGAAAGAATAGATACCCACTACCACTTATATTGGAGCTCATGGATCGACTCTAGGGAGCTAAGTGGTTCACGAAGTTCGATGTCTGGGAGGGATTTTACCGGATTAGGATCAAGGAAGGAGACGAATGGAAGACAGCGTTCAAGACGAAATATGGACTGTTCGAGTATACGGTAATGCCGTTTAGATTGACGAATGCGCTGGCAACCTTTTAATT